AATGCACATGCCAATCTTAATGACTAATAGCAACTCTCATAGCATACAGCACACAATCCATATATCTCCACGCATATATGTGGCTTACAGAATAAATACAAGTTAAAGAGCCTGCAGCGGCGTAAAGGAGGTGTCAGGAGTGAGCCAAGAGAGAGTCTGTTGAAGAGCTGGACCAGTGGTGGAAGGAGGCTGCTAGCATCAGGCTGTGAGAGTAACAGTATTGCCGCTGTGAGTGAAAGACTGAGCAAGCATCCAGAGCTGGAAATAGTGGGTTTAGGTCTAAGACCAGATGGGTGAACAGTTGTGTAGACAGTGTCAACCATAGGGGACCCAAATAAGCTAACACTCCAGGGGCAGTCAGGGAGTCCTTTGCTTGTCGGTCTGTGATACACTAAGCAAGTATTAGATAATAGGTTGGTATGGAGCCATACCAGCAAAGTATTATGTGTTCATGGCCTAATGGGGTCCAGATGAAGGAGTTACACCCTTTTCTTGGTCTGATGTATCTAACAAGTTGAGCCTGGTTTCCATGATATGATTTTAATATATCCATGTACCTCTATGATGGAAGTTCCCAATGAACTTATAGGGTGATCCGATCCCTGCCCAGGAAGATGTCACAAATTGGTCTGTGCTGAGGGGTGGTGCCTGACAGATGGTGTAGTTTCTGGCCCACCCAGGAGGTACATTCCTCCTTTTCCCTCAAAATGGAGTCAGGAGATGCATGTAAAGTGGAGTCTTCTCAGGCATTGTACAGCCTTTAACAAGTACAGTTATATGCAATATGTAATAACTTATAATAGGGCATAGTCTGACTTAACACCACCAGCCAAGACAGGGCCTGGCAGACACATTAACCAAATGGCCCTGCTGAACCGCAGGCTGTGTCCACATAGGCCTTGAGGACAGGCAGGGCAGAGGCCCAGCACACACTGGTCCAGAGTCAGGTTGCAATGGCAGCCCTTGAGCCTTTGGATGCTCACCCAGGAAGAGGCCTTCTATAGCCAGTGTCATTTAAAACAGAATGGGTCAAGAGTGAGCTGGGAACCCTGAGGGCTGTTGGAGGTCAGACCTAAAGGAGGCCAGGCAATCTGCCCCAGAGCAAGGCACAGAGCACAAGTCAGAGCACCTTCCATAGTACCTGGCCACAGTCTGTTGTGTATCTGGGAACATTCCAGACAACTCTTGGCCACAGACAGAGCCTGCCCCTTGGCATGCTGAGAAGAGTGGCGATGTGAGGACTACCTGTGGGACCTTGATGAAGATGGAGAAGGAATGACTGATTTAGAGCAATTGAGATAGTTCTGAGCCTCAGGCACTGAGCCCCACACCAAGAATCTAGAAACCACAAGGCACTGGCCAGCCTCGGTCAGTAAGACGAGCACTGAATACTCTCGTTAAAAGGGGAGCACCTTGGGAGTGACCTTGTCCAAAGTCACCCATGAGAACCTGACAGACTGGGAGCCCTAGCCTGCCCTGATCCCTAAGCTTCTCCCGATGCTCTGCAACCCTACAGATTAAACAATGTTAATTTCCCAGAACCCCCAAGTTAAAGCTACCCAGAGTTCCCCTTGGGTGTAGAAAGAAGCCACAGACCTCCATTTGCCCTGAGTGGCCACTCACAGCCAATCCAGCTACTTTGCACCTTCCTCCATGCACACAGGCTCCCACTGCATGAATCCCCACTTGCACCTGCATGAGCAAACTTTGTGCTTGCCTCTGAGCAGGAGTGCCAGCCTCTCCCTGCCCCTGCAGGGTGGCTACTGTGTGTGTATGAAGTGCTGGCTCCCAGGCACTGTCCCCAGCACAGGGTAGCTTGCTAATGGCAACAGTCTGCTGCTTACACCTGGGAGCCCCATTGCCCACACTTGAATTCTGGCTTCTCTAGCACTCATGAGGCTGAGGTACGAAGAGGGAAATTTAGGTCAGCCTAAGCTACAGAGAGACAAAAACTTGGGCCTTTCTGTAAGCTTTCAAATTTTCTCTGGCTCTCCTTGCCTCCGTGTATTTAACTATAAATAAAGTTTAGAGTTCGTCCACTTATTGATAAGAACAAAATGCGCTAGCCTAGTATACAGAATGAATAAGGATAATGCCTGCACATAAATGCCCAATAAATATTAGCTATTGGTAATTATTCTTATCGCCATCATTGTCATCATCCTTTCAGAATGTGCAAAGAAGAGTGAGTGTTTAGTTCAGCGCCAGGTATTCAGGCATTGAGTAGCCATGTCCTCCTGCACTGTGGGTTAGATGACGTCACAGACTGTGACAGGTATGCAGGATTAAGCAGCCATGTCCTCCTGCACTGTGGGTTAGACTAGTCTAGTCAGTTGGTCCCATGCCCCTCAGCTGTGTCCTCTAAGCACAGAGGAGAGACACAATACACACTTGCTGTGCATGTCAGTTCCTGATAAACTATTAGCTCCTGGTCTGTTTCCAAAAAACAAAGTGCGTACACTCTTATTTGGTAGTGGCATTTATGAACGTGTCACCAATGACTTCAGGAAGCCAGGCAGCAGCTTTCTCCAAGGCACAAAAAAATGTTTAAATACCCAACCCTGAGCATTGGCATGTGGGTTGGGCTCCTTGCTGAAACCCATCTTCCTCCTCCACTACGGCTATGTGGAATATGACTCCTAAGGGCTGCAGTAGAACCAGCCAACAATGTCCACTCTGGAAATCTTGAAAGCTTCTTCCACCGCCATGAGCCAGTCCTTCACCCTGGCTGCCCACAGAAACTGCCTCCATCTTCCATGAGAATGCAGAAGTGTGCTGCACAGCGTCTTAGTCTCTGCTTCAGTTTATCTCAGGCAGAAACAATGAGGGAGGAGGGTGTTGTATACAATGCGAGCAGCTGTAGTCTGCAGTCTTTATGGAAGGCTGAAGTTTTATAAGCCTCTTGGTGACCAAACCACTTATTATTCCAAGTGCAGACAGGTTTATGATCTGAAGTGTTCACTGTGTTGGTTGCTATGGGAAACAGAGGAAAGTTCCAGCTCAGAGTTTGAAGTGCTCACTTGTATGGGATGGCCTGGCCCTCTCCTCTCTACTACCGCCACGTCATCAGATAGTTACTTCTGTCTGTCCTCTAGAATACAGAGACAGACAGGCCACAAGACTTCCCGAGACAATACTAACTATATGCTCCATTCCAGACTTCTGTATGTGGGTCCAATGGGCCCTTTTGTCGTGGCCTTGTCTGCTGTTGGACCCTTGCTTTCCCCCACCCCACACTCTGGCTGCCCAGCCCTGCACCTGAACCTGAGGCCTGGCTCCCTTGAGGGCCATCCCACATTCCCAAACCTTGGCTTCTTGGCTGGAGCCAAGGGTGTTTAGTTCCCTGGCTTTTTGGTCAAAGACATTCCAGAGAGTTCCAGAGAATTAGAGATGTCTTTAAACCTCTTCCAGAGCTCTATTGAGCTCTCAAAGTGGGAGTGACTCATATCCTGGCTCTGCCATTAGCTTGTGGGGTTACCCTAGACAGGCCACCCTGCCTCCCTTCTGTGTGGCTGTGGGAGGGGGTCAGCCTTGAGAGTAAATGATCTCCCTAAAGATCATGGTGGGGATATGGCTGAGTTGCAAGCTTCCATCCTCCTGAGCCCAGCTGCAGATCCCATAGACGATATTCCACGTGCTCACACTCTTATGTCCCAGAGGAGAACCCCAACACGAATATTCAAAGAAGCCTCTTGGGATATTTCTCATTATGTAGAAATTTTAAAGGAAAGAGAAAATACATATTTTAAAAAGAAGTAAGTCGTCCTACCAGTGAAGGTACTTTATCATTTCAGTGCATACCAATAAACTGTCAGTGAAAATGCCCAGTGAGGGGCAGATATCTATAATCTTAGCACTCCCGTAGCATTTGGGAGATGGAGATGAAAGGATGAGAGTTCAAGACCAGCCTCAGCCAAATACTGAGTTCAAGGCCAGCCTGAGCCACATGAGACCCTGGCTCAAAACAAACAAAAAGCTACTGGTGAAATTGTTAGTAAATAGTAGAGACAATCTTTCTTCCCCTCACTCTTGACTAGAGTGTACAGAAATCTCTTTATACCAAGAATTGTTACCATTGTTTAAATATTATTTGACAGCATGTTCCAGTATTATAGCTGATAGCATGATATTGTACATTCAGAATTTGCACAGCCATCCTTTTTAATAGTATTATTAGCTAAGCAAATATCCCTGGTGGTTCTTAGACCAGATGTGAGACTAGCAGTTTCACTCCAGTGGCTGTTGATGTGCACAGCAGCGCCCTGTGCCCCCAGGATGCTATGGCACTGTATAGCTGGTAGGGAAGGACTTAGACTCTTAATCCCAGGTGCTTCCCGAATCCGCAGTCTATGACTATGACAGCTGATGACAAGTGGGACTTGTGTCTGCTACACCTCAGGCTGTGCAACTGTTGCCCTTTTGCAGGACTGGTCTGAGAACTGTACAAGTGGGTAAAACTGACCTAAGCTACCTGGCTCCCCCACCACACACGGCCACATGAGCTGATTGCAGTCTCTCAGCCACTCTACCCTCACCTGCAGGTTGACAGAAGTGGCCCTGTCCCCTTTCCTATGTGGCTTCTCATCAGTGGCTCTAGACTTTCCACCCAGCCTAGGAGGCTGTTGCACACACTCCTGTGTAGGGTGTGAGTCTGATTCCTAAGTGGAATTGCTCTGAATCAGCCAGAGCCCCAGGCCTTGAGGTCTGAAATCTGTCCCCAGGTTGGAGACAGTGCTCAGAGACTAGGGGCAGTCTTTAGCCACCTCTGCACCTGTAAGCTGGATCATTCAGAATGATCCCAAAATAAAGAAACATCAAACCCGTTTCTCTTGAAAATCAGCCAAAGAGAATGTGTTGATCCTGAATATGGGTGGAGCCTGACTCAACTCAGCTGTGCCATGCACTGTGATCTTATCTAGGTCATCGTTGTATTGGGGGGGGGGGGGGAAGGGACAACCCCAGGCGTTCCACCTGTCACTAACCACTCTCTTCACCCACAGTCAGATGGCTCCATCCTGGCAATTGCCCTGCTGATCCTCTTCCTGTTGCTGGCCCTGGCACTGCTCTGGTGGTTCTGGCCTCTCTGCTGCACAGTGGTAAGTAGACCAGCCTCAGGCCACAACAGGCCAGGGTCGCATGAAGACCCCAGGTACATCAGTGTGTGTATGGGGAGAGGGGTAACCAGGAACTGTAACAGTAGGAAATAAATCTTGCATTTGTTTCTAAAACAAATTATACAAAAGCAGCATAAACCAGGCTTGATCACTTGGACCTAAGAGTGTGCAAAGTCAGCATGAGCTAGGGGCAAGACCACCAATGGCAAAGCCTTTGGATACAGCTACATAGAAGGCAAAGATTAAAGGATATGTGTTTGGTATTTGAAAAGCACACAGACAGTGCTGGGTGTTGTCATTATCCAAAAGCACTTTGCTGGAGTTGGGATCTATTCATACATTGTATGATGCTGGGTTTCTATCCGTGGGAAGTGTTTCCCAAAATAAACTTTTCATGACAGGATGCGGCAGCATCCAAGGCAGGGTTGTTTTGCAATTTTCAAAATAATTTTAAAATGAATTTATCTGGTTTTTAAGTCCCTGTTGCCTGGGAAGGCAGCCAGCGTGTCTTCTTCATGTGGTCTCATTCTGTAAGTCTGAGGGTTCCTGTGTGAGGAAAGATCCTGGAGACAGACAGCCTCTCCTGTTTGTAATGTTCTTGACTGCCCTGCCCCTTATTGCTGACCCTTAACCTGCACCCTGGTGTTTGTTGTGCCCTCCAAATTCCATGTTGGTCTCACTCAGGGACCCTGACTGGGGCTGGATGAAGTCATGTGTTTCCGGAATGGGAGTGTGGTGTGCAGGAAAGAGGGCCTCCCCACAGAGGCCCATTCAGAGGATTCTGGAAAGTTCCTCCACCCTGAGAGACTGCACCCCATGGTCCTCTAACTAACAGAAGGTGTCTTTGTGAGTCATGGTCCCCAAACCACCCTCTGTCATTCTCCCTGCCCCGCCTCCAAGTGTGGGAAATGTCACTTGACCCAGTAGCTGAGCTGTTTGTCCGTGTTAAGGAAACAGCTAGAGCCATGGAGAACTTACAAAGTGTGTGCACATGAGGCCTCTCCCTCCCACCATAGCACTCTCTCCAGGAATCAGATTCACAGTGTCCAACAACCCATCCCAGGCAGATCAGTCTTAACCTTTTAATCACTGCTTATTCAAGGTAGGGGCATAAAGTGGGACGAGACATCAGGCCCTTGAATTCTCTTTCTGAAAACACAAATAATGCATCCATCCATACCCGACCTCCATCCCTCCTGGCCAGTGTCCAGTGAATTTATTGCCCAGCTCCTGCTCTCTGTTCACAGCTCCCATGCGTGCCTTGTGAGTAGGTGCTGTGTTGCCCCATTTCTGCTCACACCTCCAATGTCTCTACTCACTTTTGCCTGTACTCTGTGTCATTTTCTCCAGGTTACCTCCAATCCTTCTCTCCGCATCTTATCCCCAGACAGTGTCACTAAATTCAATGACTGACTACTTCATCTGATCACCCCTCCTTGGTGCAGCTGCAAGTGACCAGGCCAGGCCCCATTACAGGGAATCACTGAGTATCACATTTACAGGCATCTTGTTCAAAATGTCCAAACTAAACTCATCACATTATCTTTGGACCTGCTTGTCCCTAGTGGCTGTGCCAGTGACCTCCAACTGCACTGGCCTGCACTGGCCTCCTATGTCCCCAGAGGCTCATATGTCTGAACATTTGGTCTCTGGCTGATGACATTGGTATTGGGGGGAGGGGCGGCATGCTCATTCATCATGTTCTCTGTACAAAACCTGTTCCCTTTGGTTTCCAAGTGACCTTGTGAGCAGTTTTCTAGTAGCCTTGAAAAGATCACATTTAATTCATTTTCTTGAATCTCAGGGACAGTTTTACAAATTAACCTGTTGGGCCTCACTAGTGACCAATTATAACTTGATGTGCCTTAAAGTGAAACCAGAATAAAGTCTTCAAACACTGCTCTCCATCCATGTCATAGCACTGAATTGTAGAGCCAGACACCCACTCCCAGCATCACCGAGGAATTGACTCATGGTTTGTGTGATTGAACTCAGTGCAGACAGACAGTGTTGTGGGCCCGGACAGGTGTGCTCCCTGAATGCTTTCCAGCCTGCTTCTCTCACTCTGCTACTTGGGAAATTAGTTTTCACTATGCAGGGCCCTGCTTTCCCCTCTGCATCTCTTCCCTCTCTTCTGCATCCCTGCTTTGCCCTGGATCCCTGCCCTCCTCTCTGCATCCCTGCTCTGCTCTCTGCATCCCTGCCCTCCCCTCTGCATTTCCACCTTCTCCTGCCAGCTTCCTTCCACCTGAGCCTGCCTTGTGGCTTACCTTGAAACCCACCCACCCACCTTTCTCCTGTGCCTACAGTGGAAAGAGGCTGGCCAAAGCCTCTTCTTCCTCTGTCAGTTGAAGGAATAGGTAAAGCCTTTAACTTCTGATCTCCATGCAGAAAACTGGGAACTGTGCTGTTTCCCATTGACCTCCTTACATTCCATCTCCTCTGAGTCCCTCTGGAGGGTACCTGGTTTGGGGATGATCAGGGACAGCTCTTACAAACCGCATCCACTGGACAGTAATGCCCCTCTAGGTGGAAACAGCACACCTCAAAACAGGAGGGGTTTAGGCGATATCTTGAAAGATGCCTTTGAACTAAGCTGAAGAATTGCCCCCGTGGGCCTTGTTATAACGATATGTGTGGCGAATCCCCAAATATGCTGACTCCGGAACTCCTTTTCGGCCCTTTTTTGTCCACAATCCCCAATACCATGGCATGCTCACACCAAGGACACTGGCATTCTACCAGAAATAGTGAAGAAATACAAACCCAGAGAAGGTTGAAGCAACTCCAAATGCAGAATCTGGGACAGTGAGGGTGGCCTCTGCCCTCCCTCCTTGGAGGCTGCCTCAGTGTCTCCCAGCTTAAAAATACCACAGTATCATCAACACACTGACCTCTGTGGCCTTGCTCAGACTCCACTGACCCTTCTGGCAGCTGTAAACAGCTGGCCCATAGCCCAGACAGGGGCCAGAGATGCTCCTCCTCTAAGCCAGGGCTTCTGAGTTCATGGATTTATTTTAATATGCCACTTCCCAGAGTTCCGCAGTGCCCAGATGTTCTGCTAAATCACCAAGTCAGTCACTTAGGCCTTGTCTACTCCTGGTAGCATTCCTACTGTGGCTGTCACTTTAGATATTGATAAGTGTAGCCTCTTAAACAATCCCAGCCTTAGTCAGGTAAGAGGCACAAAACTGTTTCAGGTTGGAATTCCAAATGGAGAAAGAAACACAGAAGATCTCATTTCTTTAAAACGATCTCATCTCTTTGAAGATGTAGTGTGCTTCCTTCCAAACACCTCAGCACTAGCCTTTGCTAGACTTGTGCATTGTGAAAGTTGTAGCTTGAGGCTGTGCTAGGCCAGCAGTAATAACTCCACAATCAGACTTAACGTTTGTGTTAAACTCAGCTAGTTTGTATTGTGGGAAGGATCATTGATCTGTCTGTCTGGGTCTTTCATATAGAGTTACCCAACTTCCTAAGGTTTCCTGGCTTTGATGGGAATACTTATCTTAAGGCTTGGGGATGAGAACAGAAGGCTAGAATGTAAAAGGCAAGCACCCCCTCCTCTGTAGTGTTAGTCCTTGGGGATGCCTTTCTAGTTCCAATTCAAAGGAATCTGACACCCTCTTTTGGTTTCTTTGGGTACTGCACACATGTAATACACATACAGACAAGCAGGGACACATGCATACGCGTATATCTTAAAAATCAAACGCACAAGCTTATGGGAACAACACACCAAAGCAATGCTAAACTCAGTAAAATTCTCATTCTTTTCAATATATTGAATGCTTTAATTTTTATTACATTTCTTAGTGTGTGTGTGTAAGTTAGCTAAGGACACACAAGAGTCAGTTCTCTTTCTATTATGTTGGTCCTGGAGATCAAATTCAGGTCACCAGGCTTGGCAGAAAGCACCTTATCCATCTTTCTGGCCCAAGAAAGCACAAATTATTAATAAAAATATTACAGAAAATTTGGTCTGGTGTATATAGAGTTTGCACACATGCTGTGGCTGTAAGCATGAAGTCTCATTAGGCTGGAGACTAGCCAGCAAGGACATAATGGCTGGGGCTCACCATCTTCATATTGCCTCAGCACTGTCTGAGATGAAAAATTTTGCTGTTATATTGTCTGGTTATCCGGTCCATTAAAAAAATCGCCAGGCGTTATGATCCATGGCTTCAATCCAGCACTCAGGAGGCAGAGGCAGGGGGATCTCTGTGAGTTCAAGGCCAGCCTGGTCTACAAAGTGAGTTCCAGGACAGGACAGGCTCCAAAGCTACACAGAGAAACCCTATCTCAAAAGGAAAAAATCTGTGTGTGTGTGTGTGTGTGTGTGTGTGTGTGTGGTTCCCATGAAGCCCAAGATCCACCTTGCTCTCAGCACTATACCCTCACATACCTGTGGCCCATGGAGAGCAAAAGAGAGCTGCAGACCACCACTGTCTGGAGCCCCCATTGTCCCCTCCCTGGCAAGGTCTCCCATGAAGCCCCGTTAGGCTTCTTCACACCTGTGGCTCTCCCAGCAGCCCCCTTCCTTTACCTCCATATAAGCTCCTTTCCCAGGTGCTGAAGGCTTTCTTCTTCATTCAGTCCTTGGTTCATATATCCAGCACACACCCCTATCTCATGGTGTTGTATACAATGTTCTATAAAGAAAAGAGCACACACTAGGGACCACTGTCCCTGCTTGATTGTTCATGTATAAATGGAAGCAAGAAAGCAGATGGGGTGTGCGTTCGTGTGTGGATTTTGCATTTCCTGCCCAGTTCACTCCCAGGCAGTCAATCATTTCCCCTCAGTAACGCTAAATAGAATTGTGACATATTTCTCTACATCTGACATTCCATGAACTACGATACCACTACCACACACAAAGCTCAAATAATGGTAATTTTTCTTGGCCTCTGAATAGCACCTCTTTGAAGCTAATACAATTTCTCAGTTTTGTGATTTATTTTTGTAAAAAAAGAACTGTT